GGGGGTGGGGGAGACTTGGGATGAGAACACTGGAGGAGCTGGAGGTGACCGAGGAAACAGAGTGGGGCTGGGGATGGAGGGCACATACACAGATTCCTGAACACAAACTGGATTGCACCTTGTTTCTTGCCTTAAGCCATCCTCTGGCCTCACAGTTCATGGGCAGCCCCACGCCTAGCACATCAGCCCCTCCTCCAGAAACCCCCCTTCCTCGTCCTCCTGGCTCTCAGCTCTCTTAACCCTCCCTCAGGCCCTGGGCCACAAGAGGGCCTTTGCCTGGAATGCCCTCCCACCTCCTCTTTCCTCGTCTGACTCCTCCTCCGAGGGGCCTTCCCGAATCCCCAGTCTTAAACTCTCCAGGCATCTTGCAGTTTTCTTCCTTGGGGGAGCCGGCTCTTCCCTGCCTGGGAACTTGCTAGAGATGCAAATTTTTGGGCCCTACCCAGGCCTTCTGTGCGAGATGCAAGGAGGTGGGGCCCAGCAATCTGTTTGAACAAACCCTCCAGGGGCTTCTGAGGGCTTTGGAGCACTCATTACATAATCTGCACTTAAATACTTGTGTGATTTTTGTAAAATGTCCTTCCTCCCCACCGTGCTCTTTGAGGAAAGGACTGCATTCTCAGCTCCTAGCTTTTGCCCAGTGCTTTTTAGCGCTGTATTTTGCTGGTAAACACTGCTTATTTATTGCCTTGATATCCCCTACATGTTCTTGCTGCCTCGGCAAGTCGGGTTAATACTTGGGTGCGGTGCAAGGACCTACGTCAACTCTTTGGTCTTTGCAGTGGTACCGAACACATATTTAGGCAGGTAACTGCCCCAAAATGTCAGGATTGAACTACACTGCAATCATACAAGGCCAGAAATTTAAAACAAATCACAGACCATGCACTTCCGTTAACAACAAAAATTCCTACAGCTTTTAATATTCGCTGCAGAACGTTTGTGTGGGTGCTTTCCTGAGTGGTTAGGCCCTCTCCTTGCAAGCAGAGCTGGCCTTTCTTTTCTTCTGTATTGTAAACATCGTATCACAATATTAAAGAGCAGAGTAGACATTTGATACTTATGGACCTGCAAACATCCCTTAAAACTTGAGAAGGGCTGTTGATAAAAAGTTAGAATTGGAAAGCCCCGCACGTGCATTACTCATCTGAAAAGGAAACTGAGGCCCGGGGACGCGAACGGCTAACCAGGGACACTCTGTGTCAGAGCTGGGCCCACATATGGGTCTCCTCACAAGGGCGACACCCTCTGCAAGCCCCCTCGTCACCCCCACATGCTGTTCCCTGCGGTCCCCTGTGATGCCCTGCTGAGTGCTCTGGTGAACGGGCTACCAGAAAGCTCCAGACCTCGTTACACACACAGCACATATATAAATGTTTGCATTCTTTTTCCACTGCCTGCCCTAAATTTAAACTGGAAAGGCTATGGAAAAATTAATAGGCCATGTGATTGCCAGAAATGCACAAATCACGTCTCTCCCCCAAGTCTGGGAAACTGTACAACCATAACACCAAAGAAATCCTCTGGCCGTTCCTATTTTCTCAAGATCTGGTTGAGATTTGGAAACATATTGTATTCATTTTAGAGGGGAGAAAAATCTGCAAACCAGAGCAAATCTGAGCAGCCCATCTGTTGCGGGGCCGTGAGGAGCTGACCTGGACCCCGGGATCGGGGAACAGAGCACCGGGCGTGGTTGGGCCACACAGAGCCTGGAGCTCTGCCAGATCCCCGATCCTATTAAAATCTGATAGAGCAACAGAACTAGGTCATCACTTCCGCCCCACCCCCAAGGACAATGGAGACGCTGTTTGGTCGGGTGTCCTGTTTGGTGAGCGCAGAAGTTAAAGTGAGCTTTGTTCTCAGCTGTTTATCTTAGGATTTCAAAGGTGTATTGTGGCCTGCAGCAAGAATGCTTGGTATTCCACAGCAATCTCGGAGGGGGACGCTGCGGCCAGGCGCCCATGTTCAGAGACCTCAAGGCTGATGTCTGAGTCACGTGGGACCGGGTCTCTGAGGCTCCGTGACCTTGAAAGTCTGTTGTTTTGTCCCAATTGCCAAAATGATCTTTGGTGCCTGACTTCTTGCTTGTCTCCCTCATCTGTGAACTGTTTTAGGTTAAGAATTGGGGGAAAGGATTCTACTAGATTTTCAACTCCTTCAGGAAAGGCATATGCTTATTAGCCTTCAGAATGAAGAGTAGGTGCCCCCACATTTTTGAAACTGTATCAGTTAACTACGCCACAGTCAGCAGCTTCTGATCCCCACGGGGGAATCAGAGTGTCAAGTCCTGGGTGAGTGGGCCCATTTACAAGTGAGCGTGAGCATTTCAAAGGACACGTGCAGCCCGATGGGCGGTCCTGTCACAGAATTTACTTGCTCCTTAGCTCACTGTTGACACTGGCCTTGGACGTGATGTGATGGGCACTGGGTGCTATACGCAAGTGACGAATTACTGAACACTGCATCTGAAACGAATGATGTCGACTAATTGAATTTAAATAAAAAATTAAAAGAGAAAAAAAAAGAAAGCGGCTTTGGAATCACTGGCTTTTGCTTCCTAAATTTGGCAGACTGTCCCTGCTCCTTTCCTACAGGGGCTCCCCATCACCCAGGCATCACCCCACACCCATGGGATTGCTGAGTTCTGGGCAGACTGAGCTTCAGGAAAAGCAGATGACAAGCCCTCTAGTTTGTCACCGAGGAGCTGTGACACGAGAGAAGACAAGAGTTGAGCAGAAACCAGAATCAAAGGCAGGAATAAAATAACGGAGGGAGAAAAGGGGCAATATACCAGACTGTGGTCTGGTATATAAGAAAGTCAAGAGAGAAGATCCTAAGAGTTCTCATGGCAGGGAGACACTTTTTTTCTTCTTTTGCTTTTTCTTTTTATCGTATCTACAGGCGGTGAAGGACGCCAGCGAAGCTTACTGGGGTAATCACCGTGCAAGTCAAGCCGTCTTGCTGGACACATTCAGCTAACACCATGCTGTCTGCCAATTATACCCCAGGAACGCTGGGGGGAAAACGCAAAAACAAAACAAAACAAACAGAACTCCAAAAAAACGGAGGGAGAAGAGAGCAGGAGAGAGGGAGAACAAGAGGAAAACAGGGACTCACTTTTTAGACTTTTCAGTGTTTATCCTCCACCCCACAAAAGCGGGTTTCCTCCAGTTTTGGGGGCCCCGGAGGTCCTTAGCAGTGAAAACTACCTCCCTCCCAAAGCAGAGCTATTGTCTTCAAAAGCACCCTTACTCGGCATTGTAAATATTGCTGAAATTCACACCTCAACATTGTTTTGTGAGATTTATTACAATATCTTGAATGAGAAGAATGAATTAAGGAAGCAAACTCCGCAAAAAAAAAAAAAAAAAAGCTTTTCTTTTTAACAGTATCGGTGAGAGAGCTCTAGGTTCTAGGTGAAGAGACGTCAGGCACATATTTCTGTGGTTATGCTGAGATGAGCTGATGTAATGTTAAAACGACTCCATGCTATCTTGTAAGCCATTAAAAGGAAAGGTAATTTTGCTGGATCAGTATATCTTCAATGTGTACAATTTGCTACTGCACTTTATTAATACATTGAGGAGTGTGCCAGAGTGGGAATTTCTGCATAATAATAAGGGAATTTCCCCATAATAATAAAGAAAGGAAGCCTGCGGGAGGAATTTCAAGTCCACAGTGGTTATGCCACTGGGAAGTGCATTGTGTCTAATTTTTAAATTTAAAATTTTTACATATAAAATTAAAATTTTTTTTTTTTAATATTTTATTTGACAGAGAGAGACACAGCGAGAGAGGGAACACAAGCAGGGGGAGTGGGAGAGGGAGAAGCAGGCTTCCCGCGGAGCGGGGAGCCCGATGTGGGGCTCGAGCCCAGGACCCTGGGATCATGACCTGAGCCGAAGGCAGACGCTTAACGACTGAGCCACCCAGGCTCCCCTAAAATTTTAACAGTCTTTAAAAGGCCCGTGTTTGCCTTGCTTGGTATATATTCTGTGGGTTAGAAGCAAGAGTGGGGAATAGTTTGGCTCTTGTCCTTCTCGACTGTAAGATAACTAAATTGTCTAGATTTCTGAGGCAGCTGTTTGTTTTATTTTTTTCTCTTTGACTCTGTTTTCCCTAACCTTCTGCTAAGCCTCTCTACCTTCTCTTTCTCTGGCTCTGCTTTGGGATGAGAGCAAAAGTTTGCATCGACCCACAGCAACCCGAGGCCAACAGTGTCAACAACAAGACCCCATTTGCCCACTGGATCTTCCTGAGCATCCCCTGAAGCGGGCTCTGCCACATCCCATGGTGGCCCCTCTTTCAGCCAGCCTCTGTTTAAGAGGATGAAGCCCCCTTATTGGCTAGTGAGGATCCAGAGAAGGTGAAGAAAGTTCATGGAACTGAAAGACAAGACATGAAAATAATCTTGTGGGACATTCCAAAGACACTCCATAAACTAGCAAAGGACACTGGAAATAACATATACATTATTTGGGGGGAAAGTACAGAAGATGGGCAACAGTTTATAGAGTTTATAGAGCATCATATTGTAATCCTAGGCACCTTTAAAAAAAACCATTTCAAAGATAACTTGGTGGAGCAAAATGGACATGCATTTCAGAGGCAGAAACAGCAATGGGCTGGAATCCTATGCCAACCACGTAAGTGTGAGCAAGCTTCTTAATGCTTCCAAAGCATACTGAGCGTAACGCCCATACCACAGGCTGGTCAGGAGAGTTCACTGTGGTAGTGTGTGCAAAGAACTAGTCCTGAGACTGGCCCTTGGTGGACATCCAACGATTGTGAGTTTCTATCCTTTTGGGAGAGATAGAGAGTAGAATGGAAGACGCGACTCTTCTCTATAGGAGAAAGCCTGAGGGAATTATACCAACTGCAGCCAGAAAGAAAAAAGACATGAAAAGTGAACATTTAGAATGTGGTGATGAAAAAAAGTCCAGAACAGGACAATGTGCTGCTAGACACCAGAAAATGTGCCTTCTGATGTCCAGGCCTGTGGACAATTAGAGAACAAAGGAGAAACTTACATCAAGAATTTCCTTGTTGGCTTTTGGAGATGTGGCTTCTCTTAATTCCTTGATGGCCACGGGAATTTTAACCTTCTCACCTTCCGGGATCCAGAGTCCCTGTGATGAGGAGGGAGAGAAGACATTAACTGGCACTTGTCATTTTATGCAATATGCTGACTTGTGAGACAGACGGACTTTACCAGTGACGCCGTCCCAAAGGGCGAGGGACCTTGAGCACAGCTCTGCGCCCCAAGGCCATCGGTGCTAGGAGCCGTGACTCTCCGCGGCTCTTCTGCTATCACGTTCCATGAATCAGAGTCGTTAGATGAAAAACCCTAAGGCTGTGCCAGTTATAAACCCAGGGTGGGTCATTCTGTTCAGAATTCTGAGATACTGGGTGTCAGCCTAATTGAAATCAGCCGTGATGTAACAGGATCCAGGAAAAAATGAATTAAGAGGAGCTGTTTTGACCTGGGCTTTGTTTGGATCCTGTCACACAGTGGTAGGCAGCCCTCCTTCGGACTCCGTCTCTGCCACCCACCCCTTTACAAAGTCACCGCTGCTGTCCCTGAAAACTGTGATGCCTGTGTAGGGGCCCCACAGGACCCCTTATTTGTCACCATGGTTATACAAGACTTCCTCTTGGCAACTTGGGGAAGATGCTGGAATTTCCCAAACCATGAGCAACACAAAGAGTAGATGAGGTTGATGAGCAGAAGACAGCCCAGGACTCTGGCTCTGCCCACCAACCCGCGTCCCCAGAAGTCTTGGTGCCCTGGCACCCTCACCTTGTACACCGTGCCGAACGCTCCAGAGCCCAGCACCTTGATCTTTTTGAATTCTGTTTCCTTTAAGATCCTCAAGAGAGCTTGGTTGGGAGCTTCTCCGCTGGGTGTAAGAGGCTCAACAAGCTGTGAGAGACAAGGAAGAAGAGCCACCACCTCAACGCTCAAGGCGCACGTGGAGGCGGGTGTTAGCCAGGCCCACACACGGCCACGTGTGGATGTGCTTCAGCACAAACGACCTGCCACGCTCACGTGAAAGAAGAAATGCACGCCTTCTCAAAGAACTTCACGAAAGATACGCTGACAAAGGGACTCCGGGTATGGGTATCTTTGAACAGAACAGCTCCATTTCGACAAATGCAACTTCTCTTTTCCAGTCAATTAGCTGGATTGAGAGGATTTTGGTGAGGAACATTTCGAGAGGGTTGGTCATAATGATAGCCTGCTGGGCGTCCTAACACGCAAGTGCCTTTATGCTATGAGCTGCCGTGGGTCTCTCCTCCCAGGGACCCTGGCTTCTGACACCCTGTGGGACGCAAGGATGCCGGCTCAAGTGAGTCACAAACAGAGCTCAAAGCAACAGCACTGTGTAGACAATGGGATTTTCCACAATAACATCTCAACCACGTGCCTTCACAGGAACCAACAGACGCCTATTCACAAGCCCTTCTGTGCACATATATGCATGCATGCCACATGGCTTTGTACCCATGTTGTGACTTATTTCATTCCAGAGCTGTACCAAAATGTAGCTAGTTGTTTATAACGGGACATTCAGAGATTCTTTCTGGTTTTTCCACCATCAGACATAAAACATAATAATACAATTACATATTTAAAATACAGAATCTTGAATGCCAAGGCTTGGCAGGTGAGCCCCTGTTCCTGTCCGGGGTGCTGGGGCTAGGGACATTGGCAGGGCGGGCTGGGCCTGGGCACCCGCTCACCTCTCTTTCTTGCAGCAGCCTACGAAGCGTGCGCTTCCGGACGATGTGGCGCCGGCGCAAAAAGAGGCCCACCCCAAGGGCCACCACCACCACCAAGAGGAGGCCACCCACAATGCCAGTGGCAATGGATGGGATCTTGGGCCTGGAACGAGAGGGAGACATGGGAAAGTGAGGCTTGCTGACAGATTTCATTACGTTGGCATTTTATCATTTCTTGCATTTTTTGACACCTTGCCATCATTTAACATTATCTCAGAAAGTAGATTCCACGTGGCTTCTAAAGAGAGGAAAGAACGCAAAGAGTTTCTAGGGTAGTGTTTCCACCTTCTTGAGCATAAGAAGGCCCTCCCTCCCAGCTTTCTCACATTTTTTTAAATTGAGGTATCATCTGGACATCCCCATATGACAATTATAGTTTAATCTATTGATTAAGAAACCGCATAATTCAAAAAGTAACTCAGACTTCAATAATGCTTTTCATATGAATTTGCATTTATCCCCAGAGTATCTCCCTACATTTGAAGCCTAGAATGCCACATGCATAAGACATGCATTGTCTCCTGGCTTGCCTGGGTGAAGGCACCCTTTCCACAACGTTGAGCCTCTTCGAAGAGTCCTTGGCTTTCAAGAGGGGCCCACAGCCGTGTGGAATGCTTTATGAATAAGCTTGGGGGAGATTATAAAGTGATAGGATTTCAACACAAAAAGTATCACTGTCATAAATGAGTGATGTTACTGTGTAACAGCAAAACCACTCTACCACCCTCCTTCTTCCCACTGAGGTTGAGCCTGATTTCAGGGACAACAAAAACTCAAAACGAAGGTTCTGAGGTTCACTGGGGAAAGAACCATCTGAATTCGTGGATTCTGAATTTAGACTCTTTATACAATTATTATTCTCAAGTATCTATTCCATTTGAGCTTCTGGCAAACTTCATATTTTCAGGAAGAAATGTTGAAGAATTATCAAAGATTAATTAGTATCATTAGCACATAAATATCCCAACATTCTTACAAATTTCTGGTAAGTGGGTCAAAGGTGCTCCAACGACAATGATATCTACAACACTTTCTCCTGAGTGAGTGCAAAAGTCGTCTCCTGCATTGTGCCATCCCCCCAATTAACGCAGTTTGCATTAGTGAGTTTTTACTATCTTGAAAGGAACACTAGAACGATATAAAGAGTAATTTATTACAGAGTATGTGTCCCATGGGGAGCTGGAATAAGAGTAAGTGAATAAAAAGAGAAAAAAAATAAAAAGAGTAAATATAACAAAGAATGGTCATTGACTAGTTTCAAGGTGGGGCTTTGATGGAAAACCTCATTATGAAGGTACAGATAGGACAAATTTTGCTGATATAGGCTCAGCAAAGAGGAAGGGATGCAAGGAAATCTTTATCTCTGAGAAATCTTACTCGTCTTTCACGTTTCACTTGATAGTAGGTAGGATTTATTCTCATGGCTAATGCTGGGGCAGAAGAGTCAGCTGACATGGAGGGCAGGCAGGTTGTTGAAGAAGGGACTGTGTAGACATTACTCGAAATGGAAGAGGTGCCTGGAAGTCTGGTTCATGTTGGGTATGTCGGGAATGGCAAAGAAGTGCCTTGTGCGTAATTCCGATTCCTTGCCAGACTCTTTCCTGATGAGTCTGACCAGGAATTCCCAATTCTGCTTTTCTTAGTGCAGCATTTCAAGTAATGATGGCAAATTAATCAGAATTGAAACGCTGAAGGAAGTCATTGTTTCGAAAAGGTCGGTCAGGGGAGAAAATCCCCCCAAGCTGGAGCTCTGTCCTCAAACGTGAAGGTCTGAGATAGGGTCCACTGGGTCAGCAAGGATGAAAAGAAGAGAAGCTAGGAGAAGGATCCAGCAAACCTGGTGTAACCAAAGATGTCAGAGACAGGCTCCGTGTAAAGAGAAGCACTGGGCACTGAGTGCTGGGGCCACACGGAGCAGGTCCCAGTGCTCACACCCTGCGTCCCCTCCCCTGAAGCACACCAACGAAGCAGGCAGGGGAGAGGTGGGTGCATTCAGCAGGGTGGTCTCTGCTAGGGATGCTGTGCTGGCCCAGAGAAGACGCTGTCGATGTAGAGGGCGATCAGAAATGCGGGAGACTGCTATCTCTGCCCTTAGGTGTTTGGTCATCTCTGAGAGGGTCCACTGGACACAGTCATCATCACACTTACCCGTTTCTTGCACAGCCTTCAAGACCTGGCCCAGCACAACTGTAGGAATTGAGAAGAAAAACACACATTTTAATCGCTCCACTTCTTCAGTATTTTGTCTGAGTTTTTTTTTAAAGATTTTCTTTGCTTATTTGAGAGAGAGAGTGTGTAGAGCAAGCGAGAGAGAGAACGAGAGCATGAGCAGTGGGGAACAGCAGAAGGAGAGGGAGAAGCATGCGGGGCTCGATCCCAGCACCCTGGGATCATGAACCGAGCCTAAGGCAGACGCTGAACCGACTGAGCCACCCGGGTGCCCCTTGGAGAGTTTTTATTAAGTCATAAGGCAACATGTTTAAATCACCCTCACATCATTAAAATCACCATGAATCCCAATTTTGCGGCAGTGGTTAATCATTTACTTACTTTGCATGTATTCATTTGCTCATTCTCTCAGCAAGTACCTTTGCGTACGTACTCTGGGATGGGAGTTGTACTAGCATTGAGCAAAGCAGACAGTTTCTGGCTTCTGCCACTGAAATGCCTTCACATACACTTTGTGATATATTTATAGGTGTAGCTGCCTCATGTCTCGCTCTAGGATGTCAGTTTGGGCAGGGGAGTAGAGGGCCCAAGACCAGAGCCATACTGATTAAGGAGCAGGCGGGGAGGAACAGATGAGGGAAGACAAGTCTCCGTGGCCGGGAAATGGCAGTGATGATTTCAGACCCAGAACGCCAGAAGAAATAGCAGGAGTCGGCTTCAGCCCCTCCCACACGACTGAATCGAGTTACACGCAGGACAGACAGCACTGGTCTTCAGTGACTCCTGAGCCGCTGGGTTCCCATTCTAGTGGGGGAGGCCACCATCCCCTACTTTGATTACAGGACGATGTAAAAAGGCAGAATACACTGGCTGGGAGGAATAGCAGCATTTGCCAATACAAACACCAGTAGGAAAGCAACATATCCTAATTCAACGGAAAAGACAACTCATGCTGTTGCGCATGGACGGACCTACAGAGCATTATGCTAACTGAAATGAGTCGGACGGAAGGACAAACACCATAAGGTTTAACCTATATATAGGATCTAAGAAAACAAAACAAATGAACAAACAAACAACAGAAATAGACTCATAAATACAGAGAACAAACCTGTGGTTACCGCCGGGAAGGGGGTGAGGGGGCTGGACAAAATGGGTGAAGGGGTTAAGAGGTACAAACTTCCAGTTGTAACAGAAGTAAGTCATGGGGATAAGGAGCACAGCGTAGAAAATATAGTCCAGGGCGCCTGGGTGGCTCAGTTGGTTAAGCGACTGCCTTCGGCTCAGGTCATGATCATGGAGTCCCGGGATCGAGTCCCGCATCGGGCTCCCTGCTCGGCGGGGAGTCTGCTTCTCCCTCTGACCCTCCCCCCTCTCATGTGCTCTCTCTCTCACTCACTCTCTCTCAAATAAATAAATGAAATCTTTAAAAAAAAAATTAAAAAAAAAAAAAAGAAAATATAGTCCATAATGTAATAATTCTGACTATACTTTCTGTGATGAGCACTGCATAATGTATATAGTATTGTCAAATCACTAAAACGAATATAACATTGTGTGTCAGCTCTATTTCAGTTTGAAAAAGGAGGTGGGGGAGACTACCGTTTCACGGCCTGGGAAAAGATGAAGGACTACATTTCAAATTCGTGAACAGGATGGGGGCGCCTTCGAGCACCCCGTTTCCGATCTCGGTCAAGGGCTGGGATCTGTACACTTCTCTCAGAGGGGAGGGTCTGTTCCGTCCCCATTTCCATGCTGTCCTGCTCCTTTCCCCCTAGTGCCTTTGGGCCTTCCTCCCTACATCACACACACACACACACACACACACACACACACACACACACACACACGCTTTTTCAGGCCGTGGGATGCATGGGAGACCTCGCTATTTCACTCTATAATCTCCTAGGAAAACCAGAAGTCAAAGACAAAAGGCATCACTGATGAATGACCACTGATAAACTCCCACCCTCCTCAAAATCTCTCTGCTCACTCGCTTGTTCTCCCCCACAATGCCCGGCAGTCCCCGGATGGGGACACTATGCAAAGTGAGTGCAAATCGAAATTGTAAATTTGGGGGCCACATGCAGGGATTTTTGCAGCCTCTGGAGCTGCAGCAAAGCTGCAGGGGTTACTAGGCCAGGAAGCTACAGACACGCGAGTAGCTCAGAGGGAAAGAAAGGCCGCTTTACATCTGAAGACGTGCCTGACAAGGACAGTGACAGGCCAGGTGCTGGAAGAGAGTCGACTCGGGTAGCGAGATGAAGAGGTCCTTGGCAAAGCCGGGTTGCAGAAATGACTGCTGAATACGAAGTCAAAGAAGCCAACTCATACTCTCCTTCAAGTGCATCAGAAAAACCACTCCCTGTCCTCCACTCGATTCACTCTTTTTTGGTTACGTATAATTAAAACAGGACACATTTCGACCTGACCTTCACCAGAGGCCGAGCTTTGGCTCACCCGTAGGTACAGTTGGAATGGCACAGATGGCAGGCGAGGTTGGCATCGGCAAACTTCCAGACCAGGGTATTGTTCTCTCCCATGACGCCAGCCGGGCAGGTCTTGACGCAGTGAGGGCCGTCGATGTAGTGAGCACACTTCACACAGCTGTCTGGGCCCTGCCAGGACAGAGGAAGACCTTCATGCACGTTTCTTTCTCTTGCAGAACTTACTTACCGTGAAAACAGCCAATAATGATAGAAGTGCCTCAAGTAGAAAAACAACAAGCTTGTCTGGGATTGCCGTCGCTTGACAGGACCGCGGTGAACAGCTTCCTGTAAAGTCTTCCCGACTTTAAAGGCGTTTAGGATGTAACAATACTAAGCACTTCGTTACATTTTACTTAACAGATTACGGGCATCCTTCTCTGTCAAAACAATCTAATGGGTCTATGAGTACATTTACACCTTTATTGCTCAGATGGACCTTCTTGCATAACACGCTTGAGCTTCAAGGAAGGCTCTGTGGGAAGCCAGACTTGCCGAGGCCAATTTAAGAAAGCCTACATCTGTGTTTCTCTAGGGACAATAAGGTGGCTGCACAATTAACTGTGTACCGTGCTACCTCTAACTGTTTGTCAAACTCAGAGGGTCCTCGAAAAACGCAGAAATGACAGCATAGGGACTGCTCAGGTGGTATTCGCACACTTCACAAAGGGACTGAAATAAAACGGGTAGGGAGGGATGTGTCTGCTGGTGAACTTCTCTGAGGTCTCCGTTTTGTCCAAAGACTGAGTGCTCTCAGAACCAGAACAATCAGATGACTGAGTCAGTATCAGCAGCTGATTTATATCAATGATGAAAATTTACCAACACCATGTGAACTTATAGACCAATGGTTTACTCTGTAACTTGCCACGTTGACAGCCTATAAACTTCAAAAACACAGCCTTCTGCCCAATTCAGAGAGAACCTCTGAAAAATGATTTCAATTAGCAGATTTAGGTATGGCTGTTGAAGCTCAAGTCCACACAGATGTCCTTATAAATAATATTGAGAATGAACAACATTAGGACACTGGTGTGAGGGGGACCTGAATTCTCACTTATGCTCTTTAAAACATCACGCAGACAGAAAACTGAACTTCAAAAAGTTTTGCTAGGTGTGTCTTTAAAAATGCTTTGAATAGCTGTGAACTAATGTTCAATAAGAATTTGATGATGTTTGATTAAAAGGATGAAGCAACGACAACAGATGTCAGAAACAGTGAAAACTGGCTGACCATGTACCCAGTCTACCATAGGCCTCCCTTTGGTGAAAGAGTAGATGTTATTAAACGTGTTGGGGGGTGTTGGACAGAAAGGGTGAGTGCTCTTTCAAGGTGGGTTGCGTGATGACGTCAGCTCAACCACAGCCTCTTAGATGCAGCTGTGGGGTCCCAAGGCCCCTTGTCTGGGCTGGGATGGCCGCCTTTGGTGGCTGCAGTGAGGTTGGCTCATCACCGTGGTTCTGCTGCTGGGAAGCCTTCTCCCAGGATGTCTGAGTGAATACTATCAAATGTGCTCCTCACCCGTCCTGTGCAGGTGATATTCATGGCCTGGGGCAGGCATTCTGGATGGCACTGTATGCACTGGGAATTCTCCACAAACTCCCTTGGCTCCCTGAGAGAAGAAAGGAAACTGATCAGTACCATCTCTAGCGATCCTGCTTCAAAACGCTGGGGGTTACAACCGTCTGAGTTAATTTGTCTAAAACTTCAGGTGACGCAAATGCCCTTTCTCAGCAAAGCAAAAAAAAAAAAAAAAAAAAAAAGGTCAACATGTAACCGTTGGGAATCTCGGATTATACTATAATATCAAAAAATGATTGTATTAACTGAATCCTTGGTCATCTTCTTCCTGAACAAACCCACAAGTTTCATTTATAATCCAAACATCTTCCCTGCATTTTTCTACAAGGCATCATTTTTGTCCATTAGGCAAACAAGCCGATAAATGAAAAAAGTAATCGTCCTTAAGAGGCGACCTCTCCCCCAATATGAGATTCATGGATATTTAAATTAGGCTTTTTTAAAATCATTTAAATCATTTCTTTAAATGATGAACTGTAGACTAATGTACAGGAAAAGGAAGGAGAGATGTTAGAACTTACTCCATGGTTATTAAGAAAAACAGTAAGTATGGAACACAGGTGTGAAGAATTTTGCTTCTAAGAGTTTGGTGATTTCTCCAAGATGTCTAGATCAATGTTAAGCAAGAAGATGATGTTTGATTGAAAAGACAAAATAGTTGTGAGAGCTATTAAGGCTGAAAGCTGCCTGGTAATTAACTACTGGTCTTCACTCCAGTGAACAAGGACTGTTTACACCCCACAACATGTTCCATAAATCCTCCCTTATGTTATCAATTAAACCAAATATGCCCAGTTGGTTTTTTTCCTTCCCGCTTCTCTGAGTTACAATGCCTGTGGGAGGACTCAATCTTGCAGACTGAGCAAGTGCCAGAAACCAGCGTTCTTTAACAGAAAGGCACGACCGACAGAGTTATTTTAATTCCTTCTCTCTCTCTTTTTTTAAAGATTTAATTTATTTACTTGAGAGAGAGATAGCGAGAGAGAGAGAGAGCACAAGTGGTGGGGGGCGGGGAGAAGAAGGCTCCCCGACGAGCAGGGAGCCCAATGTGGGACTCGATTCCAGGACCCTGAGATCACGACCTGAGCTGAAGGCAGATGCTTCACCGACTGAGCCACCCAGGCGCCCCAGTTCCTTCTCTCTTTAAAAAGATATGGAAACTAATATTTCTTGTTGAAACAACACTGTCAATTGTACAAAGTACTCTGTTAGGTTCCTGAGCCTATCTGCTAAAGGGTTCCTACAGAACTGGACTTGGTCTTCTCATCCTGCTCCCGAATATTTCTGGATCCAAGCCCTGAGAGTGAAACAAGAAGGAAGGTTTCCTGTAGCCATCTGTAATTCCTATGGTCCTATGGCTCCTTCTCTCTCACAAAATTTCCCCTTTTCTTTTAATAAAAAAAAAAAAAAAAAAAAAAGCCCCTGCCTCTCTCCTTCAATTTTGCTTTCCTGTTAATTTATTCTTAGTCATTATTTGAGGACATTCAAAGCTTTATACCAATCTCAAGATTCCCAGAGAATCGACAGATAGAAATCAATTGCAAATAAATTTAAGAATGGTTATGTGGCTGTTTGTTTCTTTGTCCATGGTTACATTTAAAGTTATATGCACGGTTCAGTATTTCTTGAACATAAAACAAAAATTAACTGGGAAATGTAATTTATATTAATCTATTTTGACACGCCAGGGAGAGTGTATTGCAAAGAAAAGTCTAAATGACTGTGGTCTTGGCCACACGAACCACTTATGACTTTTCCATTTGTCTTGGGAACTCCGTGTGGCTTAGAAAAATATCAGAGATTTCCAAAACAGAGACTCTACAAATTGGTGGACTGGGTTAAGCCATGAAAAAAGTTTGTTCATGTTCTTTTGTGATTAACACCTGTCAACAAATAAACCAAAACAAAGGAAAAAGGGGGGGGAAAAAAGCAATAGGATCAATGTGAATAACTGTAAACCTATAAAAACAATTGCCGTAACTTTTATCAAGACACAGGCAGTAAAAAATAACTTACCCCTCCAGAACATTGCACTTCTCCACACATTCCCTGCCCCGGCTGACATTTCGGCAGGACACACAGTCTTTGGGCTCTGGGCCCCAGCAGCCCTCTGATGAGCATAAGGGATGGCAGACGTGGCCGATGGCCTCTGAGAAGACACAGTGAGCCACAGTGGTCAGCTACGGCACAGCGACTAGACGGGCCAAGTGAGACCTGTAAATGAGGTGCTGGGTTCTCTGTGACCCTGAGCTGCACGGACATGCAGGGGGTGGGGGGTGGGGGGCGCACTGGAAGAAGCAGTGACACCAACTGGGCCTCTGGAGGCCAACTGCAAGTCCTCTTCCCCACTGGGAGTCAAGGGTTCCCGGACTGGACCTGGGTAGCATTCTGCTGATGAATGTCACAGCCGATGGAAACACAGGGAAGGTTCGTGGTTCCTTGCCACGTGCTGGGCACCATGCCAGGAGTTTTAAGGGAGGGGGTAACAGGGTGATGGGTATTGAGGAGGGCACGTGTTGTGATGAGCACTGGGTGCTATACGCAGCTCATGAATCATTGAACACTACATCAAAAACTAATGATGTACTATACAGTGGGTAACTGAACATAATAAAAAACAAAAAACCCCCCAAAAAGCCAAAAAAAAACCCCAAAATAAATAAAATCTTAAAAAAATAATAAAAAATAAAAAGAGTTTTACATATAAAATTTCATTTCATTCTCTCACTAGCAGTGAGAATCACCGAGGAAGCCGAAGCCTAAAGAAACTAAGCAAACTGACCCAGGTGTGGAAGCTAGGAAGGGCTAGAGTCAGGGTGTGAACTCAGACCTGCTTCTCCCAGTGACCAGGCAGTGCCCATGCCCTGGCTTCAACAGCCACCTGGGGCTCTACTATCAGACTAGGAAATGTCGGTGTAAAATGTTCATTCTATCTGCACGCGTGTGCATGTGTGTGCGTGCATGTGTGTGCATGCGTGTGCATGCATGTGTGTGTGTGTGTGTGTGTGTGTGTTGCTAGCTAGTCATCAGAGGCTGAAATGAACAGGGAGAAACCTACAGATAAAAGGTAAAATAATACAAAATTTAGTTCTGCAAATTACAAATAAACGATAGCTTAAACCTCAAGGCAAATTCATCCTGTAAAATGTGAGCAATCTAGAAACTATTCCAAGGAACTTCACATGATAACTTCCCAATTAGGAATCTAGAGATTTCTCTTAATCTGCTTCTTCAGGAATGAAAAATGTAATTGAAAGGTTTGGGACTATTCTAAATCAAAATAGACGACCCATGTAAACCATCTCCGCAGCCACCCAGAGTGATTACTTACTGCAGCCTTTTTCATCTTTGTTGTTTATAATTTTGGTCTTCTGACTTGAAGTCCCAAATAGTTTTTTCCAGTTTATTGTATTTGCATAGCACAGTTTTTGGTTTCCTGAGATGATCACATCTCCGTCACTTATCTCCTTGAGGGAGCGTAATCCCAAGGACGTTATGTCCAGGCCGACGACTGCAAGAGAAAACTGACCACTATGGTGGAGAGAAGAAACATAACATTGTGAAAAAGTATGAAAAAATTATATCACTAAAAACTTGATTTTTATTTTCTGTACCACCTTATGTTTACTACAAACTGCCTCCCAGTGATTGTAAGTCATATTGTAGGAAGTCTTTATTGCAGCTTTTGAAAATTACAAGAGATTTGTTTTAAGCTCTTCCAGGCAAAAGCTCGTTCCTTGTTCACTTAGTATTTTTAACTCCAGGGGCATACGGGGAGCTGAACAGATGTTAATGTCATTATTATATTTACTGCCTTTTTTTTTTTTTTTTTTGGCCTGGGAACTGAAAATATGTTCTAACCTCTCAAATATCCAAATATACTTCAAAAAAATCACAGGTTCATTTTTTCCATCCACCTACTCACCCATTCATCTATCCATCCATCCACTCACCCATCTATCCATCCACTTGTCCATCTACTTATTATGCATGCATGCAGCCGTCCATCCATCCTTCCACCTCTCTGTTCATCCATCCATCCACCCATCTATCCATTCATCCATCCACCCATCCACCCATCTAGCTATCCATCCATCTACCCACTCATCTATCTACGCATCCATGGATTCACAATCCATACATCCACTCATCCATCTGTCCATCCATCCATCCATCCATCCACCCATCCATCCATCTACCCACTCATCAATCTATTCATCCATAGATTCACAATCCATCCACCCACTCATCCACCCATCCATCTACCCACTCATCCATCTACCCACTCATCTATCTCTTCATCCATTGATTCACAATCCATTCATCCACTCATCCAACTGTCCATCCATCCATCCATCCATCCAACTACCCACTCATCAATCTATTCATCCATAGATTCACAATCCATCCACCCACTCATCCATCTATCCATCCATCCACCCATCCATCCATCCATCCAACTACCCACTCATCAATCTATTCATCCATAGATTCACAATCCATCCACCCACTCATCCATCTATCCATCCATCCACTGATGCACTGATCCATTTACCCATCCATCCATTTATTGAACAAACATTTGAACCACCCAACTCTGTGCTAGAACTCTATAAGGCTATCAATAGGTTTTCATCAAGTGACTGGACGAAAGTAATCCACACTGAAGGGAGGGAAGTCTTGAACCACCAGGAAGAGCAGGAAGGCAAGAAAGCAGATGATGGGTGCTGAGAACCAGGAGCTTCTGCTGGAGCAGAAACCTGGAAGTGAGGAGGCTTGGGTGAGGGGTCTGGGGAGGGTGGAAGAGACCAGAGCACAGAAGACCTTGGACACCTTGAGCTTGCCTGTTGTCTGCAAATGATGGAAACCAGAGGAAAGAGATTTGCATTTTTAGGAAGCTTACTGGACACCAGGACAGGGAATGGACCAGTTGAGACAGCGCTGAATGAGGAGACATCAGGCATAAGATGACAAAAGTTTAATTTGGAGATTCTCTTTCTCTCCTGACCCTGTCCTCCTCCTCCCTTCCCACAACCTGGCTCCTGAGGAAAGCGAGGAGCCCTGTGTAGGAGACCTGCAGAACAACTGTTTAGAAATTCTCTCTCAACATGTACCCTACGGAAGCCTAGACCCTGGGACAAAGCTGGAGTGACCTTCCTCTGGTGAGCCATACCTGGAGTCGGTGGTCACCCTGCCCCTGTGTATCACTGGACTTCTCATTAAATGTGAAAAGAAAAAAAGAGTGATTCTACTTTTGTTTAAATTCCTAAAACTAAGCCAAGTGGTCCACGCCAGTCACCCAAGAAAATTGATCAAAATCTCGTCTCTGCATGAAATCTTGGGCAGAAGAAGTATTTTTGAGAACTCAGAACAAAGGGGTTTTTCTGGGAAGTGACGTTAGCTGCTATATATATTTTATGTGCACTTATCCTGATTTTCTTTCATATTGGATTATACCATGTTTTAGGGGCCAATTAATGGGTAACATTTCTCAGCATCAGACTGTTTCCAAGGCAGGTTTGACAAAGAGATTCTCAAACTCTTCCTCACCACAAAACTCATTATTACTCTTGCTATATTAAAGATGCTTGTATGTGAGTATTTCACTGTCAGAGTTGGAAAAGTGGAAATCCCGAACAAAACATTTAATGTGAAAAAGTCTCTCAGCTCCCTCTAATATCATGTGCTCATAAGGACATGTCACCTCAGTGCTCTTCTTGCCAAAAATACATAACCTCAAATCGAATCATGAGGAAACATCAGCCATTCTACAGAACGTCTGACCAGTACTTTCTAAAACTGTCAAGGCGACAAATGGTTAAGAGTAGACATGGGGACCGTTACAGATAGGAAGGGATTGAGAAGACATAACAGCCAAGTGCAGTGTGGCATTCACAGGCAAACCGGTGAAATGTGAGTGATGTCTGGTGCTGGAGTCCACAGCACTGCGCCAATGTCAATGCTGCCATTTGGTACTCTTACCACGCGTAGGTGAGACGTTAACGATGGTGGGAGCTCTCTGGAGGATCTTTATAACAGCTGTATAAATCTAATTTCAAACTCTTGATGGGGTCTTATTTTAAAAATCGATAAATAAATAATCTACCAGGCTTTGGGCAGGGTCAACTTACTGTTGCTTTGTTCTTCCACGTATGATTTCTAGGTTCTCGAAAGCATGGAGGTCAGTCCTGTTTTCGGGCCAGGCCTGAATCAGCAGAAACCCTAGAAAGGCAAAAGGAAGGCTCAGACCCCCACCACTTGTCTTTTTATGAGACATTCTAGGAGTCTCGAGAGACTGTAATAGGAGCAGGAGAGGTGAACATTGGATTTGAATCTTTTCTTTGTCTTCACCGAGTACATACCCATGGGTAGATACAAGCCAAGGCACAATTTTACAGCGGGCATCTGCCTCTCCTATAGAAGTCTCATCCCTTGCTGCATCTCCCCTGCCACCCATGTCCTGCCACCCCCCAGGCCGTCCCATGGTGCCACGGCCCTGATGGCCAGGCTGGGCTCCGTATCTGGTGACCCAAACCCGCTTCTGCTCTTGATGACAGCTGCCATGTTTTGAGCTGTTATCACACAAAAGGAGAGTCACATAATTTCCTTACTTAATTCCAGTCCTCAAAACAGTCTTGTTATTTAGCTTAGTTAGGTCTAATCACTCCCTTTTTAGGGATGAAGGCAGGGACGTGAGGTCCAGTCTGTGGGCTTGAGAGCCTGTGCTGTTCCCTCAACGTTCTGTCCTTCTTTTCCCTCCACCCTCAAAAGTCACTGGGCCATCAGGACGGCTGGCCAGGGCCGAGGAGACAAGGGTTGAACATGTTCACACAAAATCAGGGATGACTCAAGTCTTTGATTAAAGTGTTCACCCCTCACATGCAGGAGAAATTGCAATCGTGAAAACTATCCAAGAACTCACTAGTCATTGATGGTAGAAGTTCAGAAGAAATGTTTTTATGATGCTGAGAGAGAAGCAAATGCAGCTACCAGTTCTCTCTCTAGAACACCCATTTCCCATTCATGTTCATGGAATATGTTAGTGGCACACACCTGTTATTTCCCTTACAGTTTTTAGAATATCCAGTTCCTTTGGATCGAGAGGTAGAGTACGCGTGAAGGAGTCACTGAAACAAGTAACAAAATGATTATTGATTAACAATGTCTACCCGTGAACAAAGTGGGTTTTGTGTTTCTCTATTCCAGTAACTTAATCTGTTACTTACCCTCTAAATGCTACGGGCAGGATATGAAGGTCTCCACTGATTGAGGTGCAATTTTTGAAGTGTTTAATGTTTGTAGCATTTATGGAAAGTGTGTCTTTAAATTCACCAATTCCTATTCCATTACACACTGTAAAGTTAAAGGAGATGTTTATTCCCTTCACATATGCTGAATTCAGAACAGCTAGGGCTCCCCAGACAGAGGACAGCGGGAAGAGAATTGTAGCCATGAGACCATCCCCGCCATGTCATCGTTCATTCATTCAACAGTAATGGAGGCCTGCTGGGTATCAGTCACTATGGCGGGGCTTGGGGTCGGGGTGGTTGGAGAAGGGGATGGTGTCCTCATGGTGGTTGCTGCCCTCAACTGGACTTGCATTCTCCTCCTCATGATTTCCCACTTGGACTTAGCCTGATTGCTCTTAACCATCCCTCCTTGGCAGTGGGATCCACCTGCTGACTCCAGGGCCGCCCCTGCCCGGCTCTCATCAGGGCATTCCCCTGACTAAAACTTGACACCTTTCGATTGTCCTAACCTGGCTGCCGCTCTCTTGTCCAATTTTTTTTTTTTAATGTTTCATTTATTTATTCATGAAACTCAGAGAGAGAGAGAGAGGCAGAGGCAGAGGGAGAAGCAGCCTCCCCGCCTAGCAGGGAGCCTGATGCGGGACTCGATCCCAGGACCCTGGGATCATGACCTGAGCCCAAGGCAGACGCTTAACCATCTGAGCC